GTTTCCTCCCACTGCTAAAGACCCCTATGCGCAAGCGAATTATTGAAATAAAATTAAACCATGTTAGTCCCGAAATGATCTAGTTTGTGTCGAGTGGACTTTAAACCCCATTTCTCTCTCTCTCTTTCTCTAATCAATGTTTGTTAATGTCGTGATTGTAAGTTGTCCAAAGTTAATTCGTTTTAGTTAAAATTTTCCCTAAAATACTTTTGTGAAACGCCACTTTTTTAAGTTAAGATACAATTTTATATTATTTTAGTGGATTTTATCTAAAATGCTTATTGGAAGTTTAGTTTAAGACGATTTTAAGGAGATTTACGTTTTTGTGAAACAGAGCCCAGGCCCCAAGTCCGTTAGACTACTCACCTCCTAACCCCGGTTTTCGAAATAAAAGATGGAGAGGGTGGGGCCAACACCGAGGAGCGATTTAAACGTGCTATTTTATCAGGAGGTCCCGTGTTCGATCCCTGTGTTGTTCGAGAAAGTTTATGGGGATTTTCCGGTGTGGTTTTCTCTTGTTAGTGGTGCAGGACAGGCGGCCTGGCAACAGACAACTTATAGTCTGCCGGATGGGACAACAGAAACGGGGTCTTGTGTACACATTTGCGTGCACGTAAAAGATCCCTTGAAATTGGAATTCAATATCAGAGTAAGCCGTAGTACCGCTGTCCGAACGAAATTTCCCTCATAGCAGACTGTACGATGTATACCCGTCTTTATTAGCCCAGTCGGAGCAGAAAAGTAGGACGTTCATAGCACACTGTATGACGTATACCCGTCTTTATTAGCCCAGTCGGAGCAGAAAAGTAGGACGTTAAACCCCATTTCATTCATAGCACACTGTATGACGTATACCCGTCTTTATTAGCCCAGTCGGAGCAGAAAGGTAGGACGTTAAACCCCATTTCATTCATAAAGACTTATCGCCCCTGTACTGAGTCGTGTTCTTAATCTGGGTTAAGTTAAGTTAATCTTGCATGGATCCCATGATTGATAATGTCACGGGGGGGGGGGGCTTGCATCAACAGTGACAATGGGGCATATTCTGGTCAATGTCCGTCACGCTTACACAAATGCAATTTGTACGTCAGTATGGGTATATAGATTTATTTGGCAAAAAAACTATTCAGCTTTCATATAAATAGGACAAAAGCTGAGGGCTCTAGAGGGCCCAAAAACTTTCTACCTTTCACAGTTTGCGTAAAAGGCAAGGGCCAAAACGTCAAAATGGAAATCCGATGCGCAACAAAATCGATCTCCCAAGATCTTTTGATCCTTAAAGTAGCTAAGTCTCTAACTCAATATCATACAAAGTCTTTAACATTGAAAACATGAATTATTTGTCAATTTAAATCAACATTGGTGTTGTGATCATGCCAGGAAAAGGTAGTCTTCTGATATCGAATAAACATTTTATCATTGGTACACGAATCGTGAACAAAATGCGTTTCAGCGCCATTTGTAACAAGGGACAAGAAAGATCGAGGCTAGACATTCCTCAAACCATGTCAAACGATGACGCAATATTCTTATCTGGAGAGCATGCGCAATAGATTGGAATAACCAGACGCTAGAGATTGCCACTCAATTGAGAATCCTGGTGTATCTCGTCGAACATAACTGATTTGAAATTAAATTGAATGTAAATCAGTTTATATACATTCAGATTACATTATTATATTTCTTGTCAACATCTAAGTCCCAGATATTAGCGATTTAGCTCCTTCAAACATGTATGTTACGTTTCATCTAAATCGATGCGCACTAAATCGAATAATTCTACCTATAAATTGTCCACAAACAAACATGAGCGGACGTGCGACAACATGTGATTGAATAAAGCCGAAAATGGCAGTCATTTTGAAAACTCTAGTAACTAACGGGGGTTTCTTAATAAATGAAATTAATTGAAGTTTAACGTCCTACTGTTCTGCTCCGAACTGGGCTAATGAAGATGGGAATACGCCATACATGCTGTGAGGGAAATTTTGCCCGGAAAGCTGTACTACGGCCTACTCTTATATCGAATTTCAATTGTCAAGGAATCTTTTACACGGGTCCTCGGTTTTTCGTACCATTCGAACGATTAGACAGCTGTCCTTGTCAGGGCCTCCGTCCTGCGTCAATGACGGGGGGGGGGGGCAACGCCGGAAAATCTGGATGAACTGTCTTGGCGAATGTATAGATCGAACAAATGACCTCCAGGCTAGCGAGCCAGCGTCTTACCTACTTACCACCCCTACATAAATGATCATAAACGGACACCCCATGCAAATTTTGGTGCTTGTATCCAGATTCGAAAGATCTGTACAATTAGCCACGCCTTATGTTATATAACGAAAGTAGGGGTCCGATGGTGAGGTCTCGTATGTAATAGAAAGAATCCCCAAAAGTCAATTTCCAAACGTTTTAATTGCCACAGGGGCGTATCTAGGAATTTTGAAAAGGGGGGGGGGGGCGCCGCAAAATGAGGGCACTGACCGCGGAGACGGGGCACGCCGCTGAGAGGCGATTTTTTGGGGGGGTGGGGGGTCCCAAGAAAATTATCCGTCATTTCCTTGCATCTGTAGCCATTCCAAGAGCTATTTGGCTGATATTTTCGTCTAAGTATACGTTCGGAAATCGTTGAAAAATAGCCTTAAAATCGAGCAAAAAAGCCAGTTGAACATGCGACTCGAAAATTGTCATGGCGAGCGAGGCATTATGATTGGAAAAAAGACGAATCTATTCCCTAGCCACTTCACTATTTAAGCCTTGTAACTTGTACTTTGTACTGTCCACACATGAAACAATGCTACATCAAGTTGCACTCATGTGCGTCGGTGATGGGCATAAGTGTATACGCCGCCGATTCCACAAGATGTCTGTCTATAGCCACTCGATAGGATTAGGGCACCGTCAGCTAAACAACAAGAATTCGTTTGAAAGTGAAAGCATTAATTAGACCAGACTAGTGTGTTTGAATCGATGGTTTGAGTCATTTGGGATCCCTGCAACGGGTTGGGAACGGACATATTTGGGTCTGAGAAAGGGCACTTTCAGCAGTAAGAAAGGGCACTGTCGAAAATTAGGGGCGCCCCCCCCCCCCTTAAATCCGCCTCTGTGCCAGACAACTAACACATGAAGGAAGAATATCTTTAATAATCTTTGTTTCTCACGTGACTTTACTGAGTAAGAATACACTTTGTATTTGTTGTTAGACGCCGTCCATTTATCATATCTACCCAAGTTCTTGAATTACCCACTGTCTTTTTCGGTAGTTTATTTGTACTATCACCTGGACGTTAGTCATAACATCAACACATATAAGATGCGCTTCTTACGTCATCCGAGGTTACGGGCTGCCAGTTAGGGATACTCTTACATTTTTGTCCTTTGGGCGGCCCATGGCTGTTTTTCGGGGAATCCAGTGTTTTTCTAGTAAGATTTGTTGGCCCTATTTTCCAAATAATACCAAATATGCCATACTTTTTTTGGAAATAATTACCATATAAATAGTTTCGTGGGAATGTATCTTTTTAGTCGGTCATTACCTTCAAGATATATTATCTACAGACGTAATACATGTTCTTTCATTCATTGCCATTGGGAACAAAAAGTCCGTTCAAACAGGTCTATTAAAGGGAGGGAACTCTGATTTAATTCATTCAAAAGTGGCCAAGTTTTTGTACACTCCAGAGACGTACCATTAAAATAGATTCTACAAAGTCATTGGCCAACTTTTTCTGATCACAATTATCCAGTCTCAGTTGACCATGAGGATGCAGGTAGACCTGGTAGCATTTTACACAAACTACAGAAGTGTCCATTTTCAAAAGTTGATAGTTTGCAAAACCTTTAAAAGAATAGAAGAGGCAGGACAGGTTGAAGGGGGTTGGGATAGACTAGTTGTCTAGAGTGTCACCTCTGGCTTACAGTTGTGGTTTCAATCCCTGGTGTGAGTGTATGTTGCTTGGAGATAGGGGCGCCTTCTCAACCTCGTGGGTTTACTCCGGGTACTCTGGTTTCTTCCCGTAGGAAAGACCCCCTTGCGCATGTGCTAAGATATTAATAAAAAATAAAGACGACTTGTCTGCAATATCACCTTGGGTGGAAGCGGACGTTAAACACTAAGCACATGGACAGGCCACTTGTTCTGTGTAGCTGCTGGATCAAACGATGATTTGATAACGGGTCTTTTAACCCGAAATGTCATGAAGATGAATAAACCACCCCTCATTTCTACCCAAGTCTGTTTTTGTACTGCTGTTGATCAGTTATTTTAAATATCTATGTGGTCATTCTTAAACAGGCATTATGCAAGAGCAGGACCGTAACTAGCTCAGAGTAACGAAGGGGGCCGGAAGTGTTCTCAGGGGTGCTGTAAAATTCACAGACACTGTATATCTAGGTTTTTTTTATGGTCGACAATTTTTTCAAAAGCCCCCTCCTGCGTCCCCTTTAGTTGAGGGCCTGTGCAAGAGCAAAAATGGGTTTATTGCAGGTTTTTCTTTAGGCCTGAAATGTTATTTAAATTAATAATTAGACATTAATTAACTTATCCAGACCATAATCAACTCTCAAGGCCATCGGATGCCTGTGATATTTAGTGGATTCAAATATGTTTTGTGCTGGATAAAAATGGATAATCGAGACTTCATTTATTATCGTAACAACAGTATTAATGACGATCGAGGCTACTCTATAATTATATTGCTGATTTCTTGGCTCAGAGTGAAGTAATTTGATGGAAATTTTCAACATATTCTCTTTTCATTATCTATTTTTTTTTAACTATTATAGAACTGTCAGCTCTTTATCTTTAATATGTGGGACTACATGCAAAGGAAAGAAAAGCAGAAAGAAATCCACCTGTTAGGCCAGAAAATAAACTCGGAACTATTTTCAAGGTGGATTAACACTGGATACCCATGACAACAGTGTTTGAATTTCTCTGTCATGGCATCATAGGAAACTACATGTAGTCTGGGTTGTCCAGTGATAAAATTCAAAGAGAAATATTACCGTAGATAAAATGTTTCTTTATTGTAGTAATAGACTATAAAATATTATAATATAGAATTTATTCCACATAGCGCCATAATTTTACCAGATTATCATCGCTACATGATGCCAATAAATTTGGTATTTTGGGATTCCATGACACTGAATTAACATCCTGGGAATGGGCATGATTTATCATTGTCATCAAACTAAATTTTGGTTCGTTTTTATTTGAGTCCGCATCTTCACCGAAGACGCGAATACTGTCGTCACCACACGCCGTCACAAGATGGCCGGTCACATGATTCCAATTAATATCGTAGACTGCTCGCTCGTGATACCCACTCAGAGTACAAACACATTTCCATACAGAATCGCTACCATGGGTTACTATTCCTTCCTCGTTTCCGGGGAGATATTCCTGCCATATTTTAACAGTCTTATCATCGCTGCACGAAGCTAATCTGCTTCCTGATTGATCAAAACATATCTTCCACACTGTTGAATCATGTGAAGCCAATGTTTGAAAACACGTCCAATCGTCATTATCTTCTTTATATAATTTGATTGTGTCGTCATAGCTACACGATGCTAATATCTCCTTATTTGGGTGCCATATGACATGTTTAACGTCTTGGGAATGTGACGTCATGACACTGGCACATTCAAATTCCTCATCCTCTGTCACTGAAAAAATCAAAATATAAATTTAAAGTATCATGTAGTTGTGCTGTTTTAGTAGGAGTTTCTGTATTTAATGTTTAGTTTGAGAGAGAGAGAGAAAGAGAGAGAGAGAGAGAGAGAGAGAGAGGTTTAACATCAACTCAACACAACTATGTCATTTCGGGACTAATATATGGTTTAATTTCATTTTAATAATTCGCTTGCGCATAGCGGTCTTTAGCAGTGGGAGGAAACCGAAGGACCACGAGGAAAACCCACAAGGTTAGACAGGCGACCCTACTCCTTGTCACGCCAGTTGACTCAATGACAGACCTTATGATACAGCATGCATGTGCTAACCATTCGGCCATTCCCCCCCCCCATAGCCAATGTAATTACATTAACATTATATTAACTTTCTCATTTTTAGCAATGTACTTAATTATCATTTGTCAACTTCCAAAATTACAGATAGACTTTGACATGACACAAACTAGGTCATTTTGAGACTAACATATGGTTCAATTTTATTTCAATAATTAGCTTGTGCATAGGGGGCTCGGAGGACAGACGATCCTAAAGCGTACATGTCAGACCATTTGTCCACTCAACATCCCCTCCCACAACCCATAGTGAAGTAAAATTTCATACATACAGCCATACAGGCAATCCTACTCCTTGTCACTTGTGAACGCTCTATAAAGTGAAACATGGGCCATAACTCTAGACGTAATAAACAGAAATTGCTGAAATTCAATAGGCTTCTTTGTTTCACTAATTTAAATAATGCATATAAATTTCAGAAAGATCGGAGTTAGAGCGTTCACAAGGTTCAATAAAGTGAAACAAGGGCCATAACTCTAGACGTAATAAACAGAAATTGTTGAAATTCAATAGGCTTCATCGTTTCACTAACTTAAATATTGCATATAAATTTCACAAAGATCGTATGTTTACTTTTGGCATTAGAGCGTTCACAAGGTTCAACAAAGTAAAACAAGGGCCATAACTCTAGACGTAATAAACAGAAATTATTGAAATTAAATATATCAATTTTAAAACAATTGGATGATAACTTTTGGCGTTAGAGCGTTCACAAGAAATTGTGGACGATGGACGGACAGACGGGGGCGACGGCAATATACGCCCACATTGAAATGTGGGCTGTAAAAAAGAATAAATTAAATCTTCAAAAAATATCTAAGTGGAAACAAAAAGATGTAATTAGAATTTTCATGCTAATAATTTTTTTCTGATAATTATATATTTTTTGATAATTTATATTTTAAATATATTGTCTAATGTCTAAGGGGGCCCACTTGCCACTGGGTAAGCTGACAACTTGGCCAGTCTGCCAACTGCACTCCCCCCCCCCCCCAAAACCTGCAGTGAAGTAAAATTTCATACAAACCTTCCCATATCCACACACTCTTGTCTCTACTACACGTAGCTATCAAACTACCAGAAGACGACCAGGTCACGGCTTTAACCTCATTCTCATGACCTTCTAAAGTAGCGATACTCTCAAATTCTCCTTCTTTACGACTCCATATCACCACGGTAGCATCAAAACTAGCAGACGCCAGATATTGTCCACATGGAGACCAGGTGACGTAACGAACTGTTCGTGTGTGACCGTCTGTTAAAACAGTTTTACAAATCCATTTTTCGCCTTCCTTTCCCCAGATTCTACAAAATATTACAATATATTACAAATTCATGTTTCTCTTTCCTTCCCCCAGACAAAATATTACAATTTATTCTATAACTACATGCAAATACAAGCAAATATCATTGAATACAGCCATTGAATAACCTATGGTTGCATTCAATGGCTTGTACACGTACCATTTTTTCCAGAATGATGTCACTTTCAGAATTACGTCAAACTGTAACGACGTCAACACTAGTAACCACAATATTTGTAAAAAAAGAAAGAAAAAAGGGCGGAACCTATGATGAATTTTAACGTTATTGGTGATTTTGTTTTTGATAATCTAGATAGTACAGTGTATTTTGAACTCAATGACCATAATTGAATACCGCTTGGGTTATTCAATGGTTCACTCCAGTGTATCCCTGCCGCATTCCACTCGCTAGCGCTCACGAAATACTTGCGCATGGATACACTCTCTTGAACCATTGAATAACCTGAGTGGTATTCAATGGTCATTTAGTTCTATCTATATATTACAAATTCCCCTTTCTTAGGTTCTCCTAATTATCACCAATTCATGCTTCTCCTACCTTTCCACAAGATCCTACAAAAATTACACAATATTATATACTAGCAGGATACCAAGCTTCGCCCAGGCCCCGAATTTGCATGGTGCCTAAATTCAAACTGTGCCCAAATTCGTCTCAATGACAGTTGACTCAATGACAGACCTTATGATACAGCGCGCACATGCTAACCATTCGGCTATCCAACCCCCCCTCTGAGTCAGAGACTTTTAACAATATGCAATTTTACGATAACTTCAACTGGTGTTTCTAGTTTTCAGAATTAATTGGTTAATTGAATGTCTTGCGCCAGTGGGTCAAAAGCCACTCTTATGAATCCTGAAACAACCACCCATTACAATCGGTCACATCTTCACGTCATGGAAATATCAAAAGTATAAAAACAGAACAAAATACAGATTTGTATATTAATCAGATTTCAGTTAAATCTCTAACTCGATATTGTCCATAATATTCGAAATTAAAGTCACGAAATGGAATTCAATTTTGGTCCATTTCAATCAATATTGATGCTGTTATCTTGCCATTCAACAACTGTAATGGTTAAAGGGACAATAACACTCTTGCTGGCTTGAAAGCTCCAGAAAATAAATAATATCTCTATCTAAGTACTAGATGTTTAAGTGTCCTACCTGTTGTGTAAATTATCCATTACATCCTATTTTACTTGTCCAGAGGGTTCGAAAATATTTTTAAATCGAAGTTTCATTTGAAAAGGTTTACGTTAGACGTTTCCAACCATTATGTTGAATTTTTCAAAATTTTTAAATAAGGTGTGTTAAGATGAAATTTATATCACCAATTAATTGGAATATTGTAAAATAGTACAATTTGTTGACCAGAATAAAGATTGGGACATATTATTCAGTTACAACAAGAGTGGTATTGAGCCTTTAAGCATAAAAATGGATAATCATAATAACAGTTGCAATGACAATCGAGACTACAATGTTATTAAAGAAAGTATTTCTCGGCTCAGAGTGAAATAATTTAACTGAAATTTTCAGCATATTCCTGTTACATTATCTATTTTTTTTTAATAATTATAGCGAGAACTGTCAGCTCTTTAATAAAAAAAATAAAAGAAATAAACCTGATAGTTTTATCACCACTACATGTAGCCAGTAGAGAACCAAACGGGCTCCATGAAACACACCAGACGGGTTCAATATGTCCTTCAAGCGTTGTCACTTCTTCAAGACGAGGCATCCTGTTCCCGTGTTCCGTTCTTCTTCCCTTGCTTTAATCTCCTCTACTTTCTCTCTTCCTGTCAAGATCCAAATAATCTGTAAATAAAAAATAATTACAGTAAGGCCCTACATGTAACTTTATGCTTTTGACAGTAATAATAAGCACCCAGAGTGGTCATCTTTTTTTTCTTGTTGCAATACTTTATCACTATACTTATGAGTAGGCTATTTAAATGAAAGAGAGAGAGAGAGAGAGAGTTTAACTTCCACTTGACATAAACTAGGTAATTTCGGGACTAACACATAGTTCAATTTTATTTCAATAATTCGCTTGCATGTAGGGGTCATTAGCAGTGGGACTCAGAGGAAACAGGAGGACCCGGAAAAAAAACACAAGGTTGGACAGGTGTTTTAATCACCGGAAGTGATTATTTTGGGACATGGGGTCTTTAGCAGCTACCAGAGAACCAGGAGAAAACCTCACAAGGTAGGCAACCCTACTCCTTGTCACATACAAGCAGCGAATCGAAACCATGTACCCACTTGACTAAATGACAGATCTTCTGATCCTACACGTAGACCACCTCGCGACAGGTAATAATATATCTTATTCATATACTGAGCGCCATGGAAAACGCATCACTAATGCTGTCGCCTACCGTGATGATGTCTTGCAACCAATTGTTGTTTCGAGAGCACCCACAACTTCAGCACTTCCAACAGGATAATGCACGTCCGCATACCGCCCGTTTTAGTACATGTATGGACTACCTGGCTGCTAACAAAATCAATGTCCTGGACTAGCCAGCCATGTCTCTGGACATGGCACCGATATAGCATGTCTGGGAAGAGTTTTCCATGGCGCTCAGTATATACATGTATTTAATTAAGCATCAATTGTGCTGGAAAACATTAAGATAAAACTTGTCGAAACGTTGTGCTATATGTGTATAAACCAGTGACTGATTGTTTTCCACATAAATTGTGTTGTGTTTTTTAATTGTGCTCAATCCCTAAATATATCACTTAAGGTCTAGGCCTACATCATTATATTCTTTCAGTTTCAGTGACAGCCTACTGATATTTACATAATACATTTGACTTGGTAATTTGTAAATTTAACATTTGTATTTCAACTTATATTTGGTATCTGACAGATTCTGGTGCAAACGAGAAAAGCCAGTCGTCTACGGTAATTGTGTTGTCTTTTTACACATTGTGTACATGAATACCATGCATATATTATACGATATGGTATACAGAAATAAAATCAACAAATTATTACTTTCAATCACGTTGTCTTCATCTTCGTCCTTCACCTTTAACCTGTAACCTCAATTGTCTTGATTATCCAGTAACAACAACTCTGATCAAAATACGACTGGAAGTTCAATCTAAAATATTTTTAAGATTCATACGCATTTATCTCTGAATTATTAATTAATCGATTCAGTTTTGACTCAAACGGGGATGGGTGTGATTAGTTTTTAAGTTCAAACGACCATAGTTTTATTAAGAGATATTCGCCTATATTTGAAAATCACAAAATCTACTATTGAAGTTCAATGGGACTATATTTCTTGGGTGTATTTCCGAAATAGGCGTTCCTCGGCATTTCCGGTCAAAACATTACCTTTAATGGCATGAAGGAAAGTCTCACCCAAATGGTAGAAATTTGTTAAAATTTGAAGAGTTAAAGAAATTTCAAGATGTCTGCGAAGCTGAAGAAGGCGGTGGATGAATGCCGCGACACGAATAACACGGAATTAGATCTGGTAGATCGAGGAATCCACGGTGTAATGGATGCTCCAGGACTTTGTAAGTCGGTCAAATTTTGTCGTTACTGTTCTTACTCATCATTTAGTTAGGAGAATTAATGCTAATATAGCCTCACCCTTGGATTGAAGACTGACAGAATAAAAACAACCTTTGACTTAGTAACTTGAAATTAATGCCACAAGACTAACTGTTTGGCAATTGATAATTATTAGTACATGTGAAATGATGTACCAGTAGGCCATAGCAATCGTGAAGAACCCTGTCAGAATGCGGGGGGATCGCGGTGGGTAAGACGCTGGCTGGCTAGCCTGGAGGTTGGGTGTTCGATCCCTGCATTGGCAGAGAAAGTTCAGTCAGATTTTCCGACGTGGTTTCCCCAAATGGTTAGCTGAATCATAAGGTCTGTCTTTGAGTCAATTACATGTATTGAAATATAATTAAAAAACATTTGTTAGTCCCAAAATGACCTAGTTTGTGTCGAGTGGACGTTAAACCCCATCTCTCCCTCTTTCTTTCATTAGCCCCCCATTTGATTTTCATTGCCATGTAAATATATTGTTTTATTTTTTCAGATACATTGAAACACCTGACAAGGTTGACAATCAGCCATAATAAAATAACAAGTAAGATTGATATTATTTCTACCCATAAACATATCACCTCTACTAAAGGTATTATTGTTGTGTTAGGTAGAAGTGCTACCCAAAACATATTACCTGTTAATATGCTACATGTACCCGAAAAATTGGACCTTGTGACGCCCTTCTAAAGTCATTGTCATTTGTATTGTGAGAGATTGAAATGCTACCTGAAAGATTTCATTCTGTGACACTTTCCTTAAGTCATTCGTATTGTTAGAGGTTGAAATGCTATCTGAAAGATGTCTTTCTTTTGTAATTAATTTTTTTTTTTTCCCAGCTGTTCCACCCAATGTTGTTGAGTTATACAATCTGGAGATTCTGAACCTGTTTAATAATCATATACAAGAACTACCCACACAGATTTCTTCTATGGCAAAACTCAAATATCTTAATTTAGGGTAAGATTAGTTTTGTGGCAAAACTCAAATATCTTAATTTAGGGTAAGATTAATTTTGTGGTAACACCTCCCCATCTTAATTTGGGGTAAGATTAATTCTATGGCAAAACTCAAATATCTTAATTAGGGTAAGATTAATTCTGTGGCAAAACTCAAATATCTTAATTTAGGGTAAGATTAAAGATACATTCCCAGAAAAGAATTTATCGGGTGGTTATTTCCAATAAAAGTATGGCAATTTTGGTATGTATGGAAAGTAGAAATATCCAATCTTACTAGAAAAATACTGGATTCCCTGAAAAACACTCATGGAGCGCATACAGGACAAAAATGTAAGGGTTTCCCTAATCGACAGCCCGACGATTAGTAGTGTCTGCATGGGTGACATCAAAGGTTGCATGTGGAGATTGAGTGCTTGATGTACATGTTGGTAAACTTTATGAAGAGTTAGACATACAACACTTTCTGAGATAAATATCATGGAAAAAGACGTGGGCAGTGGATAACCCGAGAATATAATTAGGCTTCAATAAATAGTCAGCGATTAAAGACAACATCGTCTTGTGTATACAATGAATCCTCCTCCCGATTTCACGCTCGTTGCTAGGTATCGAGAGAGGTGGGTCACGTGACACAAACATGACCTCTTTTGATCGATTTGTTATAGCTAGGGTATTCCCTGTTATGATAAATGAATTAGTTTGAATATGTTTTTAGTCCAAATACATCATCAAATCACCCAGTTTGTATACGGGGGAACGTATCTTTAATTCTGTGGTAAAACCTCCCCATCTTAATTTGTATTTTTTTATCTTGCAGGATGAATAAAATAACCAATTTGCCTCGTGGATTTGGTGCCTTTCCAGCTCTGGAAGTTTTAGATCTGACTTATAATAATTTAAGTGAACACAGTTTGCCTGCTAACTTCTTCTGTTTAGGTGAGTTGGTGTACAGTCAAATTGGTACACTGTAGAGTTGGTGTCCAGGTGACTTGGTACACAGTAGAGTTGGTATTCAGTCGATTTGGTACACCGTGGAGTTGGTGTCCAGTCGATTTGGTACACTGTGGAGTTGGTGTGCAGTCGAGTTGGTACACTGTAGAGTTGGTTTACAGTTGAGTGATAACATCTCAACCGCGTGAAAATACAAAGTGTTATTGTGATCAGTCGTATCTTAATTGGTCCAGTCGTTAATTGATTGATTTTCAGAAGCTTGACTACTGCCTTTTTTCAGAGATATAGTGATTCTTGAGTGATATTATCACTGATAGGAGAATTTGTTTTAAAATTGGCTCAAAGATGCTTTACTTGCTTCTTATCCCATAAAATCACTGGCATCTTTATTAAAGTCTTTATCTTATTCTGTTTCTAGATACATTAAGAGCTCTATATTTGGGAGATAATGATTTTGAAACTGTTCCACCAGAAATTGGAAGACTGAAGAATCTACAAATTGTAAGTTTTCTTGATTCAACATTCCAGGTATAAAGTTTTCTTAATTCGACATTCCAGGTATAAAGTTTTCTTAATTCGACATTTCAGGTATAAAGTTTGATACTTTTGTGTTAACTGGGTTTTAAGCCCAGTCAAATTTTTTTTTTTTTTTCATAATTATAACATAAAATGTCACAATTATGGACTCGTCGATTTTGAGTTGTTCCTTGGGTCACTTATTACAATTTTGAATTCTAAACTATAAAAATAATCTTAATTGCTCTTCTCAAATATTTTGAAATTTAAAAAAGACGCACAGCCAGCGTGAGGCTATCCATAAAGATACCAAAGATCTAAAAATCAAATTTGGCCTAATGTGATCATTTAATTTATATTTTCAATTGATATTCTAACAGAATTATTTAATGTTAATTTATATTTTCACAGGATTTATTTAGATAATGACTTAATATTAATTTATGGTTTCAGTATGATTTGTTTAGATAGTGATTTGATATTAATTCATGTTTTTAGTTGGTGTTTCGGGAGAATGATTTAATAGCCTTACCAAAAGAAATTGGTGATTTGCACAGATTAAGAGATTTACATATCCAAGGCAACAGATTAACAGTTCTACCTCCAGAATTAGGTATTTATCATTAGATACCCTAATTTTTGACACAGGTTGTTTGACTCCCTATCATTTCACACAGGTTGTTAGATTGCCTAAAATTTCACACTTAGTGTTAGACTCCCTAACATTTCACACTTGTTGGTAAACTCCCTAACATTTCACACGTTGTTAGATTCCCTAACATTTTATACTGGTAGTTATCTAACCCTAACATTTCACACTGATGGTCATAAAGTTACGTAAATCGACAGTAATGCAAATTAAAGTAATGAGTAGTAACACCACTGAAAATGAAATGGGGTTTTTAACGTCCTACTGTTCTGCTCAAGCTGAGCTTATGAAGACAGTCATACATCATACAGTGTCTTATGAGCAAAATTTTGCCTGTAGTGTTACAGCTTACTCTTATATCGAATTCTAACTATCAAGGGATCTTTTACGTGCATGCCAATGTTCACACGGGATCTCAGTTTTTCGTACCACCAGAATAACTAGACAGCTGTCCCTCCACCCTGCACCACTGACAAGGGGAAACCATGTTGGAAAATCCTGATGAAATTTCTCGGCTGACACCTGGAGCAAATCTGTGATCTCCAGGCTAGCGAGCCAGCATCTTACTCACTGAGCCATCATGGTTTTTCAAGCTCAATGCAATAAGATAATCAATTTCTTTTGTATTCTTTACAATGTATATTATGTTCACTTTATACCTGGTCTTGATATTTTTTTACTGACATTGACATTATCAAAAATCAGACCCACATAGCTGCACATACTGTGTGTCCGTAACTCAGAAACCGGAAGTGGTAGGCCGGTGTGACTCCCCTGTCCGAGTTACCCCAATACACCAAATTTCAGTCTAGGGGCAACCTTAGTGTAGCCACCAAACAAATGACAGTCACAAATTTTAATATAGATATGTTATTGCATACATTATATTTAATCTCTTTGTAATAATTTATAGGTAATTTAGATTTGGTTGGTACTAAACAAGTTTTTAAAGCTGACAATAATCCATGGGTTACTCCTATAGCTGACCAGTTTCAAGTTGGTGTATCTCATGTTTTTGATTACATCAGATCAGATACATACAAATTGTAAGTCACATTCTTTTTATGCGCCCACATTGAAATGTGGTTGTATTTTGTCATCGCCTCCGTCCGTCGGTCCGGTCTGCAAAATTGCTTGTGTCGACCCTCTAGAGGCTAAAGTTAATATCTGATTGACTTTAAATTTATATACAGTGTTTCGGGTCATGAAATGAAGAAGCCTATTGCCAGAGTTATGGCCTTGATCACTTTGGAAAATCTAGAGGCTAAAGTTACTGTCCGATATACTTTAAATTTATACACAGTGTTGATGGTCATAAGATGAAGAAGTCTATTAATTTTCAACAATTTTCAGTTCTGACCCTTGATCACTTTGGAAAATCTTGTGGACACTCTAGAGGGTAAAGTTACTATCCGATAGACTGTAACTTTATAACAGTGTATACAGTCATCAGACGAAGAATCCTATTGATTTTTGATAATTACTGCCAGGGTTGTGGCTCTCGATTACTTGAGAAATCTTGTGGAAGCACTAGAGACTAAAGTTAATATAATTTTTTACACAGTGTTTAAAGTCATGAGACAAAGAATTGAAACATTCTAATGATTTCTGATAATTATTTAAAGGGTTAGTTCAAAAATGACCTAGTTTGTGTGGAGTAGACATTTAACCCCATTTCTCTCTCTTTCGTATTATTGAACTATTTTTATTATTTCAGTTTGTATGGACGTCATCTTGCTGCTGGAGGTGCCCCACCCCCTAAAACCATTGATAAAGCCAAAAAACAGAGTCGACAGCCAGCCAAATAAATTATCTTAATAACTGAACATTTTCTATATATTCTTCAATTTCTTTAACTTTTGATATCTTTAAACTTCCATAGATATATTTTACACTGCTAATATGTGTTCAAAAAATAAATGCAAGGGTAAAGGAAACATTGTATATTTTAAAGAGGCATTATGGGAGATAAGATAAAGAGCTGGCAGTTCCCACAATAATAGTGAAAAACTAGATAATGTAAAGGGAATTTGTTGAAAATTTCAGTCAAATTGATCTACTCTGAACCAAGATATTAGCTTTTGAATTTTAGGCCTAGCATGATAAAAAACATAGTCTCGATTATCCATTTTTTGGATTTAATCATCAAAGAGCATTGAGCAGCAAATCAGATTCAAATCCAATGGGGATAGTACGTCATTGATAGGGGAATCGTATACCAATGCAGATAGTATGTCAATGATATGATGGGGGTATCGTATACCAATATCTATGGTACGTCAATGATAGGGGAATCGTATACCAATGACAAGAGTTACTATTGTCTATGCATGATATGTATTGTTATATCTAACGCATTATTTTTTTGTTATGTTATTTATGTGTATTACTGAAATGATTTAATCAATATTATCTCATCTCTCCATGGTCTCTAAATGGTTCATCAAAAATATTTACTCTTTCCTGACAGACATAGACAATGTAAATCATATCACAGTGCATCCAGGTGGTCGTTTAGAAAAGCCAAATACTTGAAGACGTGTTACAGATATTTCGGACAATAAGACGACTAGTAACCAGAATCAATGGACATGCCATTAAAAGTTCAGAATGTTCTGAATTGACCAAATTTCATAATAATAATGCCAATTTCAATTCTTTTTAATTGAGAAAAGCCAAATGATTTGAGGTGTGGGACAGTCCAGATAGTTCTGATTATAAGATTATTAATAAATATAAGCAGTGAGTGTTCTAGATTAAAAGTTCAGAATGTTCTGAAATGATTAAAATGTCATAGTACTGATGCAGAATTCACTTCTGTTTAAAGATACATTATGGGAGATTCGGTAACGAGTTGGCAGTTCTCACTATAATAGTTAAAAACTAAATAATGTAAAGGCAATTTGGTGAAATTTTCATTCAAATTGATCCACTATGAACCGAGAACTAAGCGACTGAAATTCCCATAAGCCTCGGTCATCATTACTAAAGTCAGTACGATAAACAGCATAGTCTCGATTATCCATTTAATCGTTTAATAGAGAAGGAAAGTTATGCAGTAAATCGGCTTACAATCCACTAAAGATCGCAGGCTAGCGCTGCCATCTAGAGTTGATTATGGCCTGGATAGGTAAATTAATGTCTAATTAATAATTTAGATAACATTTCAGGCCTAAAGAAAGACCTGAAATAGGCAGATTTAGCTCTTGCATAATGCATGTTTAACAGAGACTCCATGATAAAGTAGAATCAGATAACAGGTGTCCGATTAGAAAAGAAAGGGGGCTTTAACATGTTTATTCAAGGCTCTAGATGGACATGTCCTTGTAAAATCAGATACATAATGTCTATTCAAGGCTCTAGATGGACATGTCCGTGTAACATCAGATACATAATGTTTATGATGATTAATGGATTGATTGAATAAGGACATTTTGTAATGGTTGGGTGCCCTGTTAGTCACGATGGACCTGTCCATGGAGCATGTGTAGCATCACTGTTGAAATGAATTTAGTAATAAAGTAAATGCTATATTTATGTAGATGGAACATTTAGTTTATATAAGTGTATTTTAGTTTATACAGGTACTTGTAGTTTATAACAGGTACTTGTAGTACATATTATATTAGTGTATTTTAGTTTATAAATGGCATGATATGTATTTATATTTAAAGATTAAACTGTTTTTATATATAATTTGCATCCATTTTGATGCGAATACAGTAACAAACAACAATCGGTAAATGAAAATATCCCTTCTATCAGATTATAGAGCTTAATGTTCCAAGTAGAACATGATTTGATGAGAGAGAGAGAGAGAGAGAGTGAGAGAGAGAGTGAGAGAGAGAGAGTCGTTACAAACTATCTTACATATGGTTCAATTTTATTTCAATAATTCGCTTGCGCGTAGGGGTCTTTAGCAGTGTGGGGAGGGGGGAGGGCAGAGAAAACCCACGAGTTTGGGCAGGTTTGATAATAGATAGTGTCTGTAATTTCCAAGTGTGTCGCAAAGTATATTGACATAAAATGAAATGGCGTTTAACGTCCTACTGATCTGCACCGACTGGTCTAAAGAAGAATGACATACATTGTGCTATGGGTGAAATTTTGCCTGAACAGTCTAATTGCGGCCAACTTTTATATGCACACCAATTATGTGTACACAGGACCTCGGGTTTTCGTTCCATAAAATGACTATATTATGTCCTTGCCAGGCCCTCCACCCTGTATCACAGACAATGGGGTACCGCGCTGTTAACACCGGGATCGAACACAAAACCACCAGGTTAGCGAGCTAATCATCTTGATCACTGAGCCACAGTGGCTCAGGCAGAGAAGCGTATCTTTATAGCCCCCACTTAATCTGAATTATACGTTTGTTTGTGATTTCTGCGTATTGTGTCTTGTCCGTAATTGTGTTTTGTGTAATTGTCTGCGTGTGGTGCAGTCCCCCTGCACTTACTATTAGTGTAATAATTGTTATAAATTGTAATAATTGCTGCACTATGGGTGGCAAATAAATACATAGGCCGAGAGGGGTAACGTTTTACACCCATCAAATTGCAAAAGAAACCAATGCAGTTTCCCATATAAACTTATAAATCGTATATTATTTTACAGCTACAAACAAAAATGTTTCCGTTTTGTCCAATAAACAATTTATTGTTAGTTCGCGTAGAAAGATATGATATATTATTTTACAGCTACAAACGAAATTGTTTCCGTTTTATCCAATAAACAATTTATTGTCCGATCACGTAGAATGATAGGGTGTTGAAAGTCATTACAAATTTCCGTATTACATGGTAGACCTAAAATTATCATATAAATTAGCAATTATTGGTATATTGGTCGAGTATTTTACAGCTATAAGAAAGTCTTCATTTAATCGAAAATTTCAATAAACAATTTATTTTTAGTTCGAGGGGAAGTTGCGACAGGTGGTAGACAATATTGAAATATTGCTTAAATGTGTATTTTCCTAAACTTATTATGCAGAGCCCTGTTTCACAAAAACTTAAATCTCCTTAAAATCGTCTTAAACTAAGGTCTCACCCTAACTTAAAATAGACGAGTTTCACAAAACGATTTTAAGCATTTTAGGTACAATACACTGAAATAATATTTTAAGCTAAATTTTTATTTTAACTTAAAGGACAATATTGGCGCCAGTGATTATCACATATGTGATAGAACTGGTTAAAAACATTCCAAATAAATATTATATCACAGAGATCATTGCTACGATAGAGGCGTAATCAATGCTTCAACAATTGGAAATGACGAACGGAAAAGGAAAACACGAGTTATCCCTCTATATAACTGACTGAAGTGACGAGTGATAACAGATACATGGGCGAATTTCTGCTCACTAATAATTCCTTCGAAGACCAAAAGTTGTTATATGAGACCGTAAGAGTATATCTGACAATTCAAAAAAGTAATTGAATGTCATTAGATGAGAGAACACGAATAGAATAGAAACAGTCCGTACATTCACGCGTGTTTATTCATTCTATCCTTATAAAAACATGGTAATGCACGGACTTTTTCTATTTTTCTTTCATGTTCTCTTATCTAGTGACAGTCAATTTTTTTTTATGAATTGTCAGATATCCTTTCACAGTCTCACACAACAACTTTTGGTCTCCGAAGGAATTATTAGTGCAATAGTGGGCAGAAATTCGCCCATGTACCTGTTATTACCCGTCACTTCAATCAGTTATATAGAGGGATAACTCGTGTTTTCCATTTACGTTCGTCACTTCCGATTGTTAAAACATTGATTCCACATCTATCGTAGCATTAAAATAGTCGCGTTTCAAAAAACTATTTTAGGGACAATTTTAACTAAACCCTTTTCTAACTTAAAATCACGACACGACATTAAAAAACCTTTATTAGGGCTACGCTGTTAGATCTATTGGGACATATAGATATATTTGGAATAATGATAATACTGCCAACGGTCTGGGTCTCATAATTTTAACATACCATCTTTCAAAAAAGAAATAAAAAATATCATTCAATTTCTTTTCATAGCATGGGAAATGCAGCTACAGTCCACCCGTTTATTTTTATTGTAAGGCAATTTAAGCAATTAGATGACATCCCAAATTAGAACCCCAAGACAAAAATCACCCAAAACCCTTTGTTACTGTTTTAGATTACCATAATGATTAAAGTATAAATTATATTATTTTCAAATAATTAACAGACAACAAAGAAAAACCCTAAAAGAAAAAATTGAATTCACTTCATATCTAATGTCATGGAAAGAAATGCACTCTTCTCCAGTCTTATCTATAAAAATATCTTCGTGTAGGATGGTTTAAAATGGCCAATTTCTATAATGCTAGATATGTCATATGCAAAGTATTTACACATATGGTTTTAGGTTATGATGTTTTGTAAAAAGATAAAGCAATAATATCTAATGTGTTCATTGAACAATGTTATAGGCCTATTTGAAATTCTATTTTAATATCATAAATTTATTCTTGTTTGTTTATGAAGGCGTACGTTATTAACACAACACAAATCAGAAGCCAGATAGAGAGAGAGATGGCGTTTAACGTCCACTCGACACAAACTAGGTCATTTCGCGACTAACATGTGGATCAATTTTATTTCAATAAGTCGCTTGCGCATAGGGGTCTTTAGCAGTGGGAGGAAACCAGACGACCCGGAGAAAACCCACGAAGTTGGACAAGCAACCCCACCCCTTGTCACGTACATCCTGGGAATAGAAAACCTCGCCAGTTCACTCAATGACAGACCTTATGATACAACGCGCACACGCTAACCATTCGGCTATCCAAATATCTGAATCTACTAATTCGGGCATCGGGTTATTTCTACCTCTAGTAACTCCCTTCTCAGATAAATCCTATGCCGAACAAAATTCGAGGGGAAAGTGCTACAGGTATTAAATACTCGTGTGGTTACTCATGGTCTACATGATACCAATCTATCGGATGAGGATCTGGCGAGGTTCTCCCCAACCGAGCGCTAATGGTGCCTGTAAATGGTGCTTTCTAGGGTGTATCCTGGTGTTTCTAGCTTATGCACATTGTATTTAACAATGTAAATTCACGACTAAAAGGGGTGAGGGGCAACTACGAAAAAACATTAACTAGTTTCCGGACCCCTGAAACTACCATACTCATGTTCAGTCCATCCCTGGAATTGATACAACAAGGGCGCAAATTCTTAAAACAACTATCGAAACCACTTTTATACCGACGAAGATGGTTCAAAGACATACCAAATGAAGACGACTGCACTACAAAAGAATGCTAAACAGATGTTTGGATTTCTTAAATTTATTTTTGAGACAAAAATAGAATTAAAGCTGAAAACCTTTTTGGATGTATTTAAAAAGCAATGGCCACATGACAGAATCTGGGTTCTGTTTAAACGTCCATTTTTCTTGTGTTGTGGGTCACATTGGTGGGTCCTATTTCATAGACTGTTAAAGTCAAAATCGTAGAATAAGTTCGGTGTATTTTATTTTCAAATGTGACGCGCATTTTGTACACATGTACTGTTGGGCGTTCATCCAGCAATTTGACCTAAAAGTCCACACAAATCATCAAACATTGGGATTTTATTACAACTGTGGTCCTTTATATATGACATGTCTTGGGTGTGGAAAGAAGCCGCATAATCCGGAGAGAACCCACAAGGTTAGACAGGTGACCGTACAAACCAACGATAGACACCACAACACGTGTCTAATTGACAACTTGGCCAGACTGCCATTTAACCCACCAGTGGTTGGTAAACGCTTTGAGAATGATATTTCCATGTGTTATTGGGCACATTGGTGTCTTTTGGGTCCGTTATCATAGACTGTGGTCCTCTATATATGGCCTGTCTTGAGTGTGGAAAGAAGCCGCATAACCCGGATAGAACCCACAAGGTTAGTCAGGTGACCGACACGCTTGGCCTCGTACAAACCAACGATAGAAACCACAACACGTGTCTAAATGACAAGTTGGCCACTCTGCAATGTAACACTATCTTAGTGATAACAATAGACCAGTTTAGTAAATAAAGGATTTATTTACATCAGGTATATAACACACCTACATACAAAATAATACAGGAACTTAAACTAATATACAAGAACTAGACTATACTGGAACTAAACTACATCGGAACATATATAACTATATTAATTCCACCATTCTGCCCCTCTGTCAAGGCAGCGGCTGAACTCGGATGAGTCCATACGCCGATCTCTCCGTCCCAGTCTGATCGTCTCAGTTATATATCTTCTGATCACAGATAAGCTCATGGTCATACATGCAATTGTCTCTTTTATCTCGTCATGGCATGCTTACTGACCAGTACGTTTTTCCTTTGAAGTAATGCGGAGCTTGTACACAGTGCATGTGTAGCTTTTAAAGGACATATTGACATAATTACATGTTTAATTATACAACACAGACAATCGTGACTTAAAGTGCATACAGAGTTAAAAGGTCAATATTATATATATTATCAAGAAGCATGGCTGGAGGTCACTAAGTTCTAAGCACCTAAATGACCGTTCAATTTGAGGAAAGTTAAAGAGTACTTTGTTACACGGTTTGAGAATGGCATTTTGACTTTCTTTCAATTTGTAAGTTATTAACATTAAAGATGTAGTAATTAAGTTTAATAATTACAAACTATATAATGAAAAGGCA